ACTGACAAGTGCAGGGTGCTGCACTTGGACAGTAGTAACTAACAATGCACTCATAAGATTGTAAACTCCCTTCTTGAGAGCATGGAGGCTGAAAGGGATCTTTGAGTCGCTACTGACTCCAAGATGAACATGGGCCGACAATGCGAGGTCACAGTTGGCAGGGCTAACCGGACCTTGTCGTGCATCCACAGGTGCATCTCTAGCAGGGACAAGGAGGTGATCCTCCCCCTCTATGCAACACTGATCAGGCCACAGCTGAAGTATTGTGTCCAGTTCTGTGTGCCCCACTTCAGGAGGGATGTGGACAACATTGACAGAGTCCAGAGGAGGGCCACCCGCATGATCCAGGATCAACAGGGCAGACCCTACAATGAGAGACTGCAGGACCTGAACCTGTTCAGCCTTCACAAGAGAAGGCTGAGGGGGGACCTGGTGACTGTCTATAAACTCACTAGGGGGGACCAGAAGGGTTTGGGAGAGACCTTGTTTCCCCTAGCGCCCCCTAGCATAACAAGGAATAATGGCCACAAGTTGTTGGAGAGTAGGTTTAGATTAGACATCCGTAAGAACTACTTCACAGTTAGGGCGGCTAGGATCTGGAACCAACTTCCAAGGGAAGTGGTGCTGGCTCCTACCCTGGGGGTCTTTAAGAGGAGGCTTGATGCCTACCTAGCTGGGATCATTTGAGCCCAGTTTTTTCTCCTGCCCAGGCAGGGGGTCGGACTTGAAGATCTACAAGGTCCCTTCCGACCCTACTTCTATGATTCTATGATACTACAACTTCTGATGGACAGATTGCATGGGACAATTAATGCAAATAGGGCAGCAAAAACTATGGTTCTTTGCACCAAAAAAGGTTGAGAACCAATGCCCTAGCTACAGTCTCCAGAATCGTGGCTCTTGCGGGCAGAAGCAGAAATTTTTTTTCACATTACTGCATTTCATATCAGCACAGCCCTTTGGGTGAGAGCTCAAAAGTGCAGCTCAGATTTTAAAGTGCTGCTTACTGAATGGTCAGTCTGTACTGGATTCCCTGGTAGCTGAGTGAAGGAGTGGTAGTCGCAGTTTCCCTGTGAAGGTCTCCGAGTTCAAGATTTGTCATATGACTTTTTCTTTTATAACCAAATAAGCTTTACTGGCCTGATGAAATAAATTGCTTCCCTTGGATATTTAATGCAGAATGCCAAAAAGCTATAGCATTGGGAGTTTCTGTTCTTGCCATTACACATTTATTTGCAAAGCAACTGCTTGCAGATGTTAAAAACAAAACAAAACACATTCTACTGGAAGAGGCAATGCATTAGTTGGACTTGGCTTGCCCAATATTTGTATAGATTGGGTGCTTCAATGGGGCTTATTGGTGCTTTTATCTAAAGCAGAGTCCATCAGCTATTAGAGAAAAGTGCCAAAAAAGCCCCACTAAAGCACTCAATCTATACAAATCTATACTAGCCAGTTGTGTGGCTGGGTCTGGCCTCCAGCAGCAGTGCTGTCTGCCCCACTGCGCAGGCAGGGAGGCAGTGCACAGCAGAACCCAGCCCAGCGCCACACAACTGGCTAGTCTGGCTTTGCACTGAGTGGGTCGTGCAGCTCCTGTGCAAAGGCACAGTAGCGGTGTGGCCCAGGCCAGATCAGGCTGGTGGGGCACATTTTCCAGCAAGCTCCACTGGCCCAATCTAGCCCCATCTGCGCAGCTAGTGTGCCTTTGCACAGGAGCCACGTGACCCGCTCCGATGCAAAGCCAAACTAGCAGTTGCATGGTGCTGGGCCAGGCTGGGTCCCGCCATGTGCTGCCATCTCTGGCCACTTGCCTCCCTGCACCCCCTCACCACCCCATGGCCCTGCAACATTCCTTTCCCCCAACCTGGTCCCAGTGGCACTGGTAGCAGCAGGCAGCCTGGCTGTAGCTCTGCTACAGGCATAGGTGGGCAGTGACACAGCACTGTGTGACCTGGATTCCTACATGCTGAAACCAGAGCGTCTCTTCTGGAGGACTGACTCCTGTATTTGCTCCAGGCACAGTCTGGGATCGTGCCTTGCCCAGCTGTCCTGCAGAACATTTATTTTTTTGACCCCGGGCTATCCAGGGGTCTAATTTTATCCCCACACTGCAAACTCGCAGCATGGAGAACATTTTTTCATTCCCGCACTTCCCTCTTGCCACATCTCAAAGT